CCCCAAAACCCCAAAACCCCCTTAGATAAGTATATTAAAGGCAATATATAATCAAAATTAATTAATATTTCAAAGTCAATCAATTTAAAGTCAATCGCTTTCCTAATTTTTATACTACTGTGCCATTTCATCAACTTCAATTAAATTCAAATTTAAATCATGTTTTGTGACGCTTTCAGTCTATTCTATCAATATCGTTGCAAATTCATTTAAATCCTCTTAAGTTACATAATTCTAGAACCAATAGCACAACTCATACATAAAACACTTGTTGTACAAGTGATATCTACCCTAAAGTATTTTAGTAGCAGATTAAAGCAAGTCCATAATCTAAGCTTTTGATTCTTATTGTTTAAATATATCTAATAGATCTTATTGAACTTTCTTTGCTAAATCATAACTTCTTAGAAAGGTGAATGTTAAACCTCTTCTTAAACTAAATATCTAGGAGAACTTTACTCTCATATCAAAGTTATTGATGACACTATAGTCAATGAAGCTAGAGAGTGTTGAGGATAGCTTAATAATATTCCAAGAAGTCTCAGTACTTGGTTCATGGCCATTGACTCTTAAATCATAAAGGTAGGCATAGAGTATATCGACCATTTAAATCATGAGAGTTTTCTGCTAATCCTCTGAGGGCTGTTCAAGTTTGACTGATAGAATTTATTTATTAACCTCATCATCGTATTTTCCCTCTTTCTTTGATTTCTCTTCTTCCAAATTAAGATTTTGCATTTGCTTTTCAAGCGAGTATTCAGGATTAAGATACTCTTACACCTGCTCAATGGCTTCATCATCAAAGTTATCAAAGGCATATCTCTCTGGATCAAATTTATCATTCTCTATTTGAACTTTATGCATTAATCTTGCCTTTAAAGTTACTTCAGCAGGGTTTAAATCAGCTACTTCCATTAGTGTGTCTTCATTGCCCTCAAATATATCAAAATACTTGTTTAAGAAGCCATAGCAATACTCAGCTCTATGCAAATTTTAAATGGTATTCGTTTTATTCTCTTGCTTTTCCTCTTCCTCTGGTTCTACTTATTATTTCTTTTCTTCCTCCTCTGCTTCTTCTAATTTATCATCACTATGATCTTCAGCTACTTGCTTTTACGCTTAGTAATACGCTTCGATCATTTACAATGTTTATTCGTCATATTCTTCCTCAAACTCTGAGAAATCTTGCTAACTATCATAAAGTAGTTTCTATGGCTGATCAAGATCTTCAAAAACTTCACCTTCATTTAACTTAGCTACTCTGCACATTAGCACTCCCTTTTCCTCATCATAATGCTGAATGTTATTACTTATTCCCTCATTGCTTTGACCCTCTTCTTTCAACTGATGCGAAAACTTAAGCTTCAGATGATAGGGTTTCAGGTAGAATTAGAAAGTACTGCTATCTATATTGAACTCCGCCTTGTCAATCTTAGCATATTTGATCAGCATGAGAATTGTTATGTGAGTATCAGTCTAACTAACCTTGAATTTGGGGGCTATCATTTCTCTACTTAATAAATTTATATATTTATTAATAAATTGAATATTCTAGTAAGTATATTTAATAGATCATCAAGCGGGGTTTTGGGGTTTTGGGG